CTACATTTCATGTGTTGAAATCTCCTCAAAGTCATATATGTTATCATGTCCTCTGTGATCTTTATTCTTACAGGAAGTAGGGTATGTGTCATTATTATTCCTATAAAAGTTAGGAATGGAGAACCTGTCAAATTAATCTCTTCCCTGTTGGCAGCTTCCTACCCTGGGCAGTAGCCCTTTCAGTGAGCTTGTCTAAATATTACATTACTTTTAGGCATTCATTCTTGGTTTTAAATTTACATTTTGATACATTTTTAACCGGAAGCATGTTTTTATTCATCTTGCAATGAATTATACTTTAGAACCATAATAAAGTACTTAGATATTATTCTTTTTCTTTAGGATATTAAAAATATGGTTGGTGGCTTGTTTGTACCTTATACCCATAATGTATTTCGCATTTAAATTAGATCTCAAGTTTCTGGAGAAAGTATGAACCAGTGACAATAAGGTTTTATAAAAGGAAGCTGAAGAATTTTCCTTTATTACTGTTTAGAAATGAAAATCAAACTCAAGTAAGGAGTTCAACATGAAACAAATAAGTGGGTATCAAAATGAGAAAACCATGGTTAGAGAAGTGATTGTTTGAATAGTTAAGATTTTATCTCTAGAGAGCACCATCACAAGGTGCTCCTGAAATACGCAAGGACCAAAGCAGACTCTTTTCTGTCCTTCCCAATAATAAGCCACAGAAATTGTGTATTTCTCCCTTTATGATCTGTTCCTACCTGAGTCACATCTTGTTACAGTTTCCCTTTATATAATTACTAATAGCCCACTCTTTTTCCCAAAAAGGTTTGTTCCCCTCATAGCGACATACACACAGTGGAGGAAGGACACACTCTGTGTGTCCTCAGCTGATCCTGGCAGTTCACAGGTCTCCCTCTCTCTCTGTCCTCAGCCTTTTCTATGGTTCTTGCTTTTATCTTTGCTGCCACTGTCCATCTCACAGTGCCAGGTTTCCTCTCTCAGTAGTTCACAAATAGTACATTTTTAATGGCCTCTTTCCTAAAAGAGAATCACACACCTGATGGATGCTTCCACCTGAACTTTTAGATAATGGATGAAACATATAAATCGTTTTAAAACGACTAGTTTAATTCTCAAGTAATTGTGATCATGTTGGTTTATTACCAAAATTCTAAGAGTGATTTGCTGGAAGGAAACCTTTCAGTCCAACGTGGGATAATCTAAGGGGAGACAACGATTAGTTATTTACATGGGCTATGAAAAATTAGAGAAGTCACCCTCTTCCTTGGCAAGCCCTGGTGGACTGACATATTGATATTATAGGGGGGAAAGAGGAGAGGAGAATACAATCAAGCAAACACAAAGTTACACTTGTACATAGTGATATAAAGAATTTGATAAAATAAATATAATGTTATAAATTGCATCTTATTCCTAGATAAATTTAAGTGAATAAGAAGGACAAAAAAAGTCAAGTGTCTTACCTCCTTACATACTCTGGGCTTCTTCAATTTTCTTCCGCCAAGAACTGTTCCAAGAAGGATAGTGGGCAAGAGGAATGAAACAGGACATTCAGCATGAGAATAGTCTGCCTTTTCATCCAATCTCTCTTGCTTGTTAACAGTATGATTTTCTGTGACCTATGAAATGTTGCAACTTCCAATTATTCTTTTCTTCCAAAACATCTTCAATCCTGTGGTCCTACTATATTCTTTGTTGATAGAAAACAAATCTCACATTATATTAAGTCCATTTTCCAGCCTTCCTCTCTTTGTCGGTTTTTTAAATGATGTAAAATAACCTCAAGATTTGGTTTGTCAGCATTGACTGCTATTTGTCAATGTAACAAATAGAAGGCTTTTATTTCTTTTGAAGGTTCTAGGTCAAGGTGGCACCTCCTCTCTGATTTCTTTGCAAATCCTGTTCTATATAGCTTGATGCAGAACATTTTCTTTATATTTTTTTTCTATTTTTTTAATTGTGAAAATATCGTACAGAGGGGTCATAATTACATGGGCAAGGTAATGAGTACATTTCTTATCAAGCATTGTAGCCTCCTCCTTTGTTTCCCCTTCCCGTCCCTTCCCATCTCCCACCGCCTCCCCGACCCTCCTACCCCGGGCCAAAGTTGTAAAGTTCGTTTTTCGACATAACGTTTTGTACATCTCATTGTTGCAATGGATCCATCTGTATCCCTATTTAAACAATTTGTTTTTTCCCTTCCCCTCCACAAATTATACTGACATCAAATACAGTGAAAGCAGGGGTTATACCGTGGGGGAGGGACATACAAAGCAACAAAGAAATATCTTATAAATATGTTAGAAACAATAGCAAGAAAGAAAAACCATTTGAGTCCGTATCTTGGGGTTCATTTTGCCTAACATCAACTTATCTGACTGTTTCTTAGACTGTTTCTTATTAAATTGGATAAATACCTGGGCCTCAGATGCATATTCTAGCAATAAGGGATGTTTTATTAATTTTGTCATGCAGAAGAAAAAGATGCAACTTGAGACTTCAGATTGTTTTAGATGTACTACTGACACAAACTACAGCTGCCACCTGGACAATATTTTTTGCAAGAAGACATAAAGGGATGACAAACCCATACCAACAGAGGAACTCATCCTTAATAGTGACTTAAATAATACACTTCCTTTTTTAGAAATTGTATCTATTTTGATTTTGCACTGGCGTATGCCTTTTTTTTTAAATCTTTCTACCTGCTTTTAGAATTAAAGGAGAAATGCTACCACATAAGTTTAAGTATCTTTTTAACAAGTACACCAAGCTCATGAGCTAGGATATAATTTCAAATCTATATTTTCACAAAGATACATTTCCACTTACATTTTTATTTGCTGACACATTGTTTTCCCATACAAATGCACATGAATCCTGCTGTTATTTCTAGGGAGGAAAATTGTGTTGGAAGTCCTTTTGCTCATGTCTTGACCACTCACTGTGGCTTCTGTTTTCTGGCACTGTTGTGTAGTTTTAAGGGCTCAGCACTCTACTGAAACCTGGAAGGTTTCATGAATACATAGCCTGGAGCTTTCATTTTATATCCATATAACACTCTTGCCATTTTAAAGGGGGTCTTCCCTGAATAGCAAAACCGCTCCTCAATGGAAAGAACACTGCTGGAGGAATATCAATACCAAATTTCAAACTCTACTATAAAGCCATAGTAATCAAAACAGCTTGGTACTGGCATAAGAACAGACCTCAGGACCAATGGAATAGAATTGAAAACCCAGAAATGAACCTACAGACCTATAGCCAACTAATCTTCGATAAGGGAGCTAAAATAATAGAATGGAAGAAAGATAGCCTCTTCAGTAAATGGTGCTGGCAAAATTGGTTAACTACTTGTAGAAAACTAAAACTAGATACTTATATATCACCCTGCACCAGAATCAACTCCAAATGGATCAAAGACCTCGGAGTCAAAGCAGACACTCTGAAAACATTACAGGATGGAATAGGAGAAACCCTAGGCCTCGCTGGCTCAGGCCGAAATTTTCTTAATGGAGACCCAGAAACCCAACAAATCAAAGAAAGGTTGGACAAATGGGATTGCATGAAGTTGCAGAGCTTCTGCATGGCAAAGGACATAGCTAGCAAGATCAGTAGAAAGCCCACGGATTGGGAAAAGATCTTCACTAGCCATACAACGGAGAAGGGTCTCATATCTAAAATATACTTGGAACTCAAAAAATTAAATCCCCCAACTCAAAGAAACAACTGCCCAATAAATAAGTGGGCTAAAGACTTGAAGAGAAATTTCTCTGAAGAAGAAAGAAGGATGGCCAACAGACACATGAAGAAATGCTCAACCTCCCTAGCCATAAAAGAAATGCAAATCAAAACAACATTGAGATACCACTTCACCCCAGCTAGAATGGCTATAATCAAGAACTCTAACAACAACAGATGCTGGAGGGGATGTGGACAGAAGGGAACCTTACTTCATTGTTGGTGGGAATGTAAACTTGTTCAACCACTTTGGAAAGCAGTATGGAGGTTCCTCAAAAGACTTCACATAGAGCTCCCCTATGACCCAGCAATCCCACTTTTGGGCATTTACCCAAATGTTTACAAACAAGACCACACTAAAGCTACTAGCACAACTATGTTTATTGCAGCATTATTTACAATAGCTAAGATATGGAACCAACACAGGTGCCCCTCAGTAGATGAATGGATCAAGAAAATGTGGTATATATACACAGTGGAATTCTATGCCTGCATCAGAAAGAATGACATTTTCCCATTTGTTAGGAAATGGAAAGGCTTGGAAAAAATTATATTAAGTGAAGTAAGCCAAGCCCAAAGAAACAAAGGTCCCATGGTTTCCCTTATTTGCAATATCTAGTATATGTATGAGTCAAGCAGGAAAGGTCAGATAATGTGATGTTAGGAAAATGAACCCTTAGATAAGTATTTAAATGTTTTTTTTCTTTCATGCATTTGTTTCTAACTCATTTATAAGATTATTTCTTTGTAGCTTTTTATGTCCCTCCCCCACAGTACAACCCCTGCTTTCACTATATTTGATGTCGGTATAATTTGTGGAGGAGATGGGGAAAAACAATACAGGTGGACCCGATGCAACTATGAGAAGTACAAGTTGTCATGTCAAAAACGAACTTTACAACTTTGGTGCAGGGGGGGGAGGGATTGGGTGGGGGGGCGAGGGGAGGCTGGGAAGGGATGTGAAGGGTAAACAAAGGAGGAGGCTGCAATGCTTGATAAGAAATGTACTCATTATCTTGCCCATGTAATTGTAACCCCTCTGTACAATATGTTCACAAAAAATAAAAATAAAAATTAAAAAAAAAACAAAGGTAGTCTTCCATGATCCTACTAAATCAAATTATAAAGTCATGTCATTCTGTCCTTAGAGCACCAAAACATCTTTGATACATAGGTATTCCCTCTATTCAAAGGTGTGTAGTCTCTTTGTGACATATGAGAGGAAGTGTAACTGGTATTAACACTCACGTATCATTTTCTCACAACAGTTGACTTCAAGCCTCGAGCCAGCATGGATACTGTTCATCATATGTTACTTTTTGGATGCAATATGCCTTCATCCACTGGAAGTTACTGGTAAGGATAATGGGCTTACAGGACAGAGGGGTATAGAAAATATGTGTTTTTTACAAGTAACAAGTATATCCGCAAAATCACTTTATAAATTATTTACAAGTAGGTAGGTGGTGTTTTGCTGGTTTTTTGTAGGTTTTATTTATTTATTGTCATTTACTCATTTCTTCTTTCAAAAAGACCAATAAAACAGTAGTAGTCCTGGTGCATGTCTGTGTTTAAAACAGTGATATAGAAGAGTACTATTCAAGCCAGCCAAGGAAATAAAGTCTGTAAGACTCCATCTTCACAATAATTGCCCAAAAGGCTGATGCATAGCTCAAGTGGTAGAGCACCAGTCAAGCAAATGAAGGAATCAAGGTCCTGAGTTCAAATCCTAGTAATAGCAACAAAAACAAAACATTTTTATTGGCATCACGCTCTGTGTCATTCACTGTCACTGAATTTAAAAAGCTGGATATATAGAGCATATCCAAGTGCAGAAGGTTTCACTACAAAGCCTGAAAATTCAGATTGTTGCTACTCTCCTGTTCATTAATTGCCTTTTTTCTTTTTTTAATTTATGGTTTCCTCCAAAGAGCACAGAGGTTCTGTTCTGTTTTGTCCTGGCCCCTGCTTGGCAATCTAGACAAACCATTTCAGATTATGCTAATGTCCTTTATCCTCATTTTAAGAAGTCTGAAGCTCAGAGAGATTTAGTAACTTGCTCTAGCAAACACAGCTGTTGGGCGTCACACCAAGATTTAATCTAAGATTGTCCAGTTCCAAATCAAAGTAATTTCTGTTTTACTACACTGTTTCCCGTTCATAATTGTTGTATTTTAGAAATTATTTTAATCAATCAGATGAATCTTGAACATTCATGACATCATGTGAACATTCAAGAAACCTCCACTGCAATGACTGCCATAGGATGGTAGGAGATCCCAGGGAGTTTCTAGAATAAGTGTTTTGTACTCTACCAAAATTTATTGTAATTTGAGCTTGATGCTTTTGCTTTCATTTTGATCTTTAGTGCTCCTGAAGATTAGTGATCTCTGGAAATAGCCCTGCTTTTTGAGCCTCACATTCTTTTCCTTGATAGGAAGAATCATTGTTACACATTTAACAGTCCAGAGTGACTGAATGTTTTGTTTTGCATTGAAACAGGATCAGTGTTGATGGCCTGTCTCTACATAATCATGAAGACCGATAGACCTTTCTTTATGTATCCTAATAGTCATTATTCTGATGCAAGGCACACAACACAGCAAATGCTTCCAGTCATTTTTGTAATAAACAATTGTAATATGTATTTGGCACTGTTAAAGCACAGGGCAATTAGTGGAAATCTCCATGGACCAAGTATCATCAAAGCATTTGTTAATAGGCTTAAGTTATTTGATGAAAGGGGCAGATCACATAGGAACGTAGCTCACATGATTGCATTTATGTAAAACTGGAGTCAGCAAAACAGTTAATATTCTTTTGTATCAACATTCCCAGTTTTGTTCTCTTCAGTAAATTTTTGTAAAAAAAAAATTTCTGGATTAAAAGATTACTGTTTGGCAGCCTTTTCGGAATCTTACTCAGCAAATTACATTCTCTGAATTTTTGCTTAAAATATTTCTTTTGAAATTAGCAATATTTACCTTTGGATTAGAATAATTAAAGATAGCGAAAAGGGATATAAGCATTTAAGATCTGCTTTAGTTTAACCTCATTTAAAGAGAATAACTGAGGAAGTAAAACAGCTCTGGCATGGCATACTATTGTGATCCTGTTAAAAATTACATGGGCTGCAAATGTGGCTTAGTGGTAGAGTACTTGCCTAGCATGCATGAAGCCCTGGGTTTGATTCCTCAGCACCACAGAAACAAAAAGCTGGAAGTGGTGCTGTGGCTCGAGTGCTAGCCTTGAGCAAAAATAAGTTCAGGAACAGTGCTCAGGCCCTTGAGTTCAAGCCCCAGGATGGCAAAAATAAAATAAAATTACATGAAAGACATCAGTCAAGTGAAATTTACTGTCCTCAGGATAAAGACCTATCAAAATAAGAATTCTATTTTGTCCCTTTTAAATTTCTAACATTCCTAAGTATAATACTATATTTATAAAATGTCCTAGCAGAAAAACTTGCAAGTTGGGGAAAAAAAAAGTGATACAAAGTATAGTAGGAAGACCCCTACTCAGGCAGGCAAGCCCACCTAGTCGTCAGAACCGAAGTGACAGAGCCTACCGCAACAAAGTTGTTAACAAAGAAGCAAGTTTATTGAGAAGGTTCCTACACTGACAGGTCAGGGCCGCAGCACAGGCGCAGCACAGGCTCGGAGCTGATACTGCAACCCTGAGCAGCCCCTGTTCTTTGGTTTTTAAAGGCAAAATCCATGAGGTCGAGCCTGATCACACGCAGGAGACCAATGGGATCGTAACACACACAAAGGATTGTACCAGACCACACACAGGTGGCCAGTGAGGTTACAGTTTGTCTGTAATGGCTGTTTAAACCAGGCTATCACGTTGGTTTAAAATGGCACACAAATTTAGTGGGTAAGTCGAGGTCTATCTTTTGGTGGGCAAAAGATGACGTTTTCCATAAGCATGTGCAAAAGGCAGGATTTACCATAAGCAAGTGGTGTCAACAGTTGGAGCCGGATTACATCCTATCTGTTTTATGGGTCAGTCTTCAACTCCACAATCAAGCCTGGATTAGGTTGTTAAGGGGAGGGGGACCAGATGCATTTTTTTCATTCCAGGAACTAGACCCATTGAGTCTAAAATCTCTAAAACAAAGGCAAAGCTCAAAGTGGAATCAGACCAGCTTGGGCCCCATCTTAGGGTCCACTTCACAGAGAAAAGTCAAATGAAATAGTGAAGTAATTGCTATATTTATTTATTAGCTAAAATTATTACTTCAAAGGCATCATGGCACAGGCTGGATTCACTGTTAGCTTATTTGGACCAGAGTTACTTTCTTCATTTCAGTGCAAGATTTATGCCAAATCATTCATAAAACCTCTCTCTGCTCGTGACTTTACATCTCCTACGATTGATGAGTCAAATTGGAAAAGCAAGCATTGACTCCCACCAAGCAAACAGCTCACTGGACTTTTGCCCATAGCTGCATCATTAAGTAATTTGAATTCTTAACAACACTGCACCCGTATTGTGCTAAATATAATTTAAAATACCTGTCTGGTAGCCAGTATTCCTATATAATCTGTAGATTTGTAATGATTCTCTTCATAACCATAAAGCAAGGAAAATAATTGAAACTATTATTTATCATTGAACCAAGAACAGTCTCTATTTAATATTCAAAAGTAAATGTAGGATCTGTTCAACATGCCATCTAGGAAACATGAATTAAATAAAACTCTTCTAGTGGCTTTAATTTTTCAGTACCATGTTGCATTGCATCTAAAGCTTATATAGATTATTTCTTTACATATTTAACTGAATTTGTGACTCCTCTAAAGAACTAGATCCCTTGGGGTATTTCATGGACTAAACTTTCAGGTTGCTTCATGAGATTTTTCTCTCATTCCCCTCCCACAGAACTTCCCACACTCAGTCCCCAGAAGTGTTCCAATGACTTGGACTCCTATCCGTCCCTTGAATTAGAATACTAATAACACAATTCTATCAATGTCAAAAGTTTCTTTTCCTAAAAGAATTCTTTTTCTAGAAAAATTGAGCCATGAAGTTTATCACACTGATTTTCCAGTGTGACTCTATTTTTCAATTGTTTCAAGACATAAACAGCTTTCAAATGAAGATTCTAACACATCCACATATGGTTTTGGGTATGAAACCTATAAATTTTCTATGTTAAAGAATATTAAGAATTTACTTATGCTCTGGGGAAAGATTCATGGACTCCAAAATTTTTAATGACACAAGAAAAAAACTAATAAGATATTTAATACTAAAATGTCAAGCATGGATTTCTGCTTTTCTGTCAATTGGGATTCCGTGACCTACACACACACACACACACACACACACACACACACACTCCTTTCACTTGAGTGTTCTGCTTTCATTGCTAGCTGGCTGATAATATGTATGCATCTATAATATAGAAAACAGTTTTCCCTTGAAATTATGAAGCTATAATTCATCCTCTTGTCTTCAGGCAGCACTTTTATTATGAAGGCAAAGATCTATTTTGATGATGTTTCACTGTAATGCTGCCCTCCTTTGCTCTGTGTAATTGCCTTTTTCTACTGTTCATTAAAATATATTTACAGTTATATTAAGTTTACATGAAAATAGTAGACACAGCAGGAAGCAGTTTTCATTATGTAGTCATTTTAATTTTAAAGTGTTTTTCTCTGTGCGCATTCCAGTCTTTTGTGTCTCATTCCAAATTAGCAGCTCACACTGGTAATGTGTCTAGTTAATTATATGCATGTGCACTTAAATTGCATACATTGATGTGAACCTTTTAATATACCGTGGGGTGGTCCCTTTATAGTTTGAGTGAGCTGATGCTCAATTCCAAATTAACATATCTCCAGAGACTGCAAATAAGGACCAGCTGATGGGAAAGCAGAGGGTCTGCTGACCCATGTAAAGAAGGCACTAGTACCTGTCCTTGGGACCCTGACATCTTAAACAGGTCTTTAAAGGAGGAGATAATTAACCAAATCTAGGGAACAATGGGGAGACATACATTGAGACTGCTACGTAGAACATGATATGCTGGTATTTCTTTGTGCTTGTAGAGCCAGATTGTTATTTGTTGATTGAAGATGAACCATGAGTCCTAAGGTGCTTTTAGTTTACTTTCCTTTTTCTCATTTCTTCTGTGTGTGTGTGTGTGTATGTGCATGTGTGTGTGTGTGTGTGTGTTTGTGTGCATGTGTGTGTGTGTGTGTGTGTGTGTGTGTGTGTGTGTGTGTGTGTGTCGTGCTGGGGATTGGACCCACAGCCTTGTGAGATGCAAATGGTATCCACTGAGCCACATGAGCAACAACCTCATCCCCTCTTTTCTGTTTTTATTAAAGGAGAGAAATGGAAAA